TTTGAGACACCAGGCCGCCACCCGCTTGCAGCTATACAATACTGTTGCAATACGTGGCTAACGCCTTGGAAGGAGAAGTTTGTATCTTGTTTCGTTAATCAATATCGCCACTTCGGGCGTACAACGACCTCGATCGTCGAGGGACTTCACTCTCATATGAAGAAGTTCCTTTGGTCCTGTACGGGCGATTTGACGACCGTTTTCCAACGATTCGAACGCTTCTGGGGCCATCAGGCTGCTCAGATCACAGCGATAGAGAATCGAAACCTCCACAAGATATCAACGTTCTCCTACAGGCGCCGTATATGCCGATCCGCGAGCGAGTATCGTCATATGCGTTAAAGCTACTAATAGATGAGCATCGCAAGATCCTCTAGACCCCGAAGTCAACGGGCCAAACCGCCGCCAGGTCAATGTCCTTGTAATTGGGCTACTAGTCGAGGGCTACCGTGCTGCCATCGAATCTTCGAGTCTATCAACACCAATACCTCCCTTACACTCGACGACTTCGACCCATTTTGGTATATTCCGATCGATCCAAGCGCTCAGGGCACAAGCCCTACTCGGGCACCATACGAGCCACAAGTTATCAGGGCTAAGGGCCGCCCCAAGGGCTCACTCAACCTCGAAGAGTCACGGCGGTCAAGATCAACGCGGCGGGATCCGTCACATCACGAGATCGCTGAACGGCATGAGCGGGCTGAGGCTATACGACTGCCTCCTCCTCAACGGCACCAGCGGCGATGACGGGTACGGTAACGGCCGCGATGACTTCAACGGAACGAGGGCTGCGGCACATCGAGGAAAACGGCGATACGTACGAGGCAGGCACACGGATGCAACGGGCGTATCAACAAGCCGGGCGTCAAACGCCAGTCTCTGATGATGACGATCAGCCGGTACGGCGGGAGACCCAAGACTGCATCTTCGTCGCTGGCCTCACGGACGATGCCGCCCTTGAGGATGTATGGGATCAATTGGAATCACAGTTAGATGAAGCGGATCAGGCACGTAGTGCACTCGAAGAAGGAGGCCTGTTGTAAACACCAAAGAATAGTCTCATCAGCATAGAAAGCGCAGTACGAATAGCTTCAATTTTGGGTGCCTTATCGTTGAAGGAGAACTGTTACTACCTGGCTCTACTTATCGTAGAGAATGTGTGCATACAAATTGGCGGTATCGGCCCTCTTCGGCCGTCAGCCACAGTTGATCCACTTTTTGGTGTACAGTTAATAAAAGGAGGTGTATAGATAACTTGGGCCCCAATGTACGGATACCAGTCCAAATTTTGGCCCAGCATCGGATACTTTGGCAACATGACCGTTTCGAGTCCGGTAGCAAGTAGTCCCGCGACACACGATAGCGCGCTGCCTGACTATCAGCTGCTCCAGCCTGACTCTTGTTTCGTTGCCGCTTGTGTCGTCCAGAGTGGCATGGCGATGGCCCCTCTCGCTCGATGAACCTGTCCAGGCCCATCGCATCGTCACTCATCGTAGCGTAGCCAACAAGAGCTCGCGCGAACTTGTCTGGCTCGTCGTGGATATCGAATAACCCTGAGCTATACGGCCCGGACCGATCGAAGACCCAGAGCTCCATCTTGGAAGAGCAGAGCGAGAACGCGTGGACGAATCGGCGCGTCGGCTGGTCGGCGAAGACACCTCGTACATAGCGAGCAAGTTGGAGGAGATCCGCCTTCTAGGGAGGGAATCCTGGAGGGTCGAGACTCGAGACGGACGGACTTGGTTTGGACTTGGTTGATACCGTCCACTGATTGCCCCAACTCTCGCTCGATCATCTTGCGAGTATGAAAATGGGGTTTCAGAAGAGTAGAATTTCGTACAAGCCAATGGAATATTTCTGAGGGTGCTGCGTGCTTGTCGCTGGTGTTTGGTTGGTGTAGTTGGGGAAAGGGAGAAGGGGGGTTGTCTCGGATCAATATTTAAGCGGTAGGTTTTGCCATCACCTTGCTTAAAACCTGCCGAAAGTCCCGCCCCGATAGTGACACGCCAGATTCTATCGTGTTTTGCAACTACATCGAGCGCATGGCCTTGGACCGGCATGTACGCGTACACTCTCGGTGCGGAGCCTGTGGTTTCCGCTTCGACCCCGGTGATTCGGTTTACGCATGTCAGTTGCGCCCTTCACTCGATGTCAATCTCGACTGATGCCTGAGCAGTCTCTGTCGCTGTCTTCGAAAAATTGCGCTTTCCGGAATCCGGATACTGTGAAAATGATGATGATTCACCGTGGACGTTCTGCCGCCTACCTCATTGCAAATACTGCCGCTCATCACCAAATAGTGGCGTGGCTCATGCAGGGTGCCTAAGGGTGGTCCTTTCCGCCTTCAGTACCTTTAGTAAGGGGCTTCGATCTCTATGGCTCGCGGCGACTTGGAACACTCCTTGGCAAGGTGCTCTGCCACTCGACCTAGAACCCTCGGCCAGGTTTGAAAACGCAAAAGGGATATTGAACGACACGCCGGATGTCTTGGCACTGACTCCAGAGCTCCAATCAATTATATGGAAGTTCTGCTCGTCGAGCCGGCGCTGGGCATATAGTGCGATTCTGGACACTAAGGACCTGGCTGCGGCGGAGCATTGCGCACAGCTTTCCATCCCCCTTCTCGATATTGAGTCGTGGTCTCGTGGCGGCGAGGTGCGGCATCATTCTGGCTCTATGAACCCCATGATACGTCTGTCTTTTGACTGGCGTGGCCTGCGGCGCATCGAGAGACTGGGCAAGCTGAAACCACGACATGGTATGGGGTCCGACTTTGACGCATTCGTACTTGAAGAGACTGAGCGATTCGCTGGCGTTACTGTAGACTTCCAGGTTGGTCTTGACGAATGTTATTGAGATCCTCTACTAATTACTCCAGCGTGGCTTGGCTCGTTTGCGGCTGCCTGTCGGCGCCTCTCGTGGGTTTCGCCTGTGGATACGCCAAATCCACCTCCTCCCGAGTGCTGCTTCACCGAGTCGTTCAATATCCCGTCGTCATGCCATCTTGGTACAATTGAGCTCAGTGGCTGCACGGGTTTGACATTATTCATGTCGCAGAGTTCATTATACGCCGTGCATCCCCACTCACATTGTTACGGTATCCACCTCCACATACCTTACGGTATCCACTTCCACATACCGTTACGTATATAGACCGCTTCCTCCTTTTCTTCAGTTCCTCTTCCTCTTCCCTCTTCCTTAAGAAGTCGATAATTAACTATTCTTCCAAGTCCCTTCTGGTTATCCATATCGGCCTTGATCGTAACATATTATCGACTTCTTCACTTCCGATGGAGCGATATCTATCCTCCTTTGAACACCTTTTCCCCTTCCAGCGGCACCGCGACGTCTCGCATATTGCCCTGAATTTCAGTTACTTCTGGCATTGACTTTACTGAAACCTTGATACTTTTCTGGACGACTCTGATCACGAGTTCTCTGCCGCTCGGCTGCCTCGCTTTTCTTCCTCGCCACCCGTGACGCCCTAATCAGGCGCACCTGCACCGCCAGTCTTCACCAGTCGCCACAGTTGCGCTGCCTTCCACGGACCGACACGCACTCCCCGACGTTATCACCACTATCGGCAACTTTCTCAACATCATGTCCCAAACCAGTAATACCCCTGACGGCACAGCCTTCTCCGCCCCACCGCCCGTACTACCTACCTCTTATGACCCCAGTCGTCCCAAGGTTCGGCTTCCGAAATGGAACGGAAATCTCGCCGAATTCGACATCTATTCCTCGGCTTGATGAACATCCTTGCCAACCTCCACAAAAGAATCAGCTCGGAGATGAGCGTACCATCTGCATCACTATCTTCACCGAGTTACCCCCGAATGGCGCCAACCGGACCAAGGCTTGGATGAAATTGCGCCACACGGACGGCGCCTGGGATTCTGACAACCTCCTCAAGCACCTTAACGAGTCGTTCGAAGACAAAGACTCCACCCAACGCGCAGCCCGACGTCTGTATGCGGTCCGCCAAGGAGTGGCCCAGCCGTTTGCCCAGTATCGCCATGTCTTCGAGACATACTGCGCCGACGCCGACATCCTTGCCCCTACCGGCGCCGCCAAAGTCAACACTCTGCTCCGCGGACTTTCTTCGTACCTCCGGGATGCCTCGCCCTCCAGTTGGGCGTGTCATCTACCGATTACAACAGCTTTGTCACCATTGCCCAGGCTCTCGCCACCCAGTTAGAAGCACTGCCCCGATTTCAAGCCAACGCCAACGTTCAGAACCAGGTCGAATGGTATGACTCTTCCATCACCGTGGATCTCCCTGCCAACCGCACCAACGGCCCCACGTCCCAAGCACCTATCCGCACCCCGGCCACCCAGACCCAAGTTGACCAAGACGGTGACACCATGATGAGCGAGGTCAACCAAATCAAGACCAACTCCTCCGCCGACCTTGTCTCTATTGTTCAAACTATAGTGGCCGCACTGGCTGGACAACAACAAAATGGGTCTAACAGGTCCTCGTCCAACAACAACGGTTCGGGCCGCAGCAAGTATACCGAGGACTCGCCCTCGGGCTCCGTGGGTCGACCAAACCACGCGTGACCGCCGTTCCGAGAACCGCCAGTGTGTTCGCTGTGGCAAGACTCCTCTCATCGCTTCAGAGAATGTGAATACAAGAGCTTTCCACCCAACGCCCTGCCGGTGTCAACGGCGTCAACACGAAGGCGGAAACGAGTAGCCCCTGAGAAAAATCGTGCTCAGGGGCGTGATGAAAAGGATGTTTTCGGTGAAGACCTCACAAAAGGGCCTACGGAGAAGGATATAAAGTTAGCAAAAGGACGGCTAGACAACACGCCGTTCTTGTTCGATGTGCTTATCAACAACACCTCGTATATCAAAGCTTTCTTCGACTCCGGTGTCTCCCATATGCAGCTTTCAGTGAGGAATTTGTCAGAAAACACCACATCCCACGTATCCCAGTCGAGAAGCGCCTTCTCAAACTCGCCAAGCAAGACGAAATACAACACGCCATCACCGACATGGCTTTTATCACCATGGATATCGACGGCCGCGCAGAGCGTCTCTACGGCTATGTGATCCCAGGCCTTGAATTCGATCTAATCCTTGGAAAGGGTTGGGCGGAACGAAATGACGTCGTATACAAAGCTGGAAAGCGCTTGCAAATCGGCCGCGGCAACAGTCGCGTGAAGGTTCGTGAGTGGCTGGATGGACAAGCAACAGGTCATCGATCGTACCAAAGACCTGCGTGACGCGAGACTCGTTTCCGCCAGCGTCTTCATGGCGACAACGAAGCGCATGCGCCGCCTCAAGAAAGACGCCCACCTTTTCTCAGTTACCATCGCCGACATCAACAAAGCTCTCGCCAAGCTCAGCGAGAAGAAAGCGAAACCGACCCTTGAACAACTCCAGCAAGACGGCCGAATCCCACAAGAGATCAAAGATGTAGCTGGCGATTTCCTGACGACGACGACGTCGATATCACACCACCGCACAGAGATATCTGGGATCATGCCATCAACCTCGAGAAAGACGACGATGGTCGTGATAAACGCCCACCGTTCGGACCACTCTACGAGATGTCCCGTGACGAGCTCCTCGTGCTACGAAAAACTCTGACTGACCATCTTGACAAGGGCTGGATCCGCGCCAGCAGTTCACCCGCCAGCGCGCCTGTCCTCTTCGCACGAAAACCAAGTGGCGGTCTTCGCTTCTGCGTCGATTACCGCGGCCTCAACGCCATTACGAAGAACGACCGTTACCCTTTGCCGCTGATCCGAGAGACCCTCCGCAACCTCGCCACTGCCCGATGGTTCACCGCTTGACGTCCGCGCCGCTTTTCACAGACTTCGAGTCCGACACGGCGACGAATGGAAAACCGCCTTTCGCACACGGTATGGCCAATTCGAATGGCTGGTAACACCGTTTGGTCTCACAGGCGCGCCCGCGACCTTCCAGCGCTATATCAACTCGCACCTCCACGACCTCCTCGACGAATTCTGCTCAGCCTACATGGACGACGTCATCATCTACAGCGACGGCGACTACCTTGACCACATGACCAAGGTCCGTACAGTGATGGAACGCCTCCGCAATGCCGGTCTTAAACTCGACCTCGAAAAGTGCGCTTTCGCCGTGAAAGAAGTCAAATACCTAGGATTCATCATCAAAGCCGGCGAGGGCGTGACGGTCGACCCGGAGAAAATTCAGGCTATTCGTGACTGGGAGGCGCCCACAACAGTGACAGGTGTCCGCTCTTTTCTTGGATTTGCTAATTTCTATCGGGAGTTTATCGAGACTTTCGCAGCTGTCTCTGAACCCTCAATAACCTTACCAAGAAGTTGACCAAATGGAATTGGGACGCTTCAGCGCAGAACGCCTTCAACAAGCTCAAGGAACTCCTCATCACCTCACCCGTCCTCGCGATGTTTCACCCGACCGCGAGACTGTACTCGAATGCGATGCCTCCGGATGGGCCGTTGGCGCCGTCCTCTCTCAGCGAGACGAAAGGGTAGACTGCGACCAGTCGGCTATTTTTCACGCAAATTCTCCGCTGCGGAGGTGAACTACGACATTCACGACAAAGAACTTCTCGCCATCGTCGCGGCAATGGAGCACTTCTCAGGCGAGTTACGCAGCGTTGACAAATTCATAGTCGTCTCAGACCACAAGAACCTGCAATACTTCATGACCAACCGCCGCCTCTCCGAACGCCAGGTCCGCCTAGCGGAAACACTCTCTCGGTACACGTTCAAGATCGTTTTTCGCGCTGGGAAGGACAATACACAGCCGGACTTCCTCTCTCGCCGCGCCCAAGACCTGCCCGCTAACGGCGACGACGAGCGCCTTAAAAACCGCGAATTCCAGCTGCTTAAAGATCATTGGCTACCTCCACGCACCGTCAAGCATCACCAAGGCGACTACATTCTTAACCAACTCGTCAGCGCGGTACAGACGCGCCGCTCAAAACCACACCCATCGACGATTCTCAAGCCCCGCCCAGAGGCGCCAAACTCTTCTTCGACTCCGCGCTTCAGTTGCTCTGGGACCGCGGCCTGATCGAAGACGGCGAGTACCGCAACATACACGCCTCTGTTGTCCAAGGCAACGCCACCTTCCCTTCGGAATACAACCTTTCTGTCCAGGTACCTGACTGCGAAATCGACGACCGCGGAGCATTGCTCCGGCGCGGCGCTTTATGGGTGCCCAATTGGGAACCACTTCGGACGGCACTGATACAACAGACACACGACTCTCACATTACGGGTCACCCTGGGCGCGACGTTACGCTCAACATTCTTCAACGGAGCTACTTTTGGCCCCAGCAATACCTTATGGTTCGCCAATTCGTACGGAACTGCAATGTTTGCTCACGGTCAAAGTCGTGGCGCCACAGCCCACAGGGTCTCCTACGACCTTTGCCTATTCCGGACAGATTTCACAGCGAATTGTCTGTCGACTTCATGGTTGACCTGCCAGCTAACGGCAAAGGCCCCCGATTTCTGATGGTAATTTGTGATCGGCTGCTCGGCTCTTGTACACTGGAAGCTATGGATTCGATGGAAGCTGAGGCTTGTGCCGAGCGCTTTGTTCAGTGCCACTACAGATTCCACGGCTTTCCAAAGACGATGACATCTGACAGAGGCAGCAACTGGGTTAGCAAATTCTGGCAACGGCTTTGTGAACTCGTGCGCATTGAGCAACGTCTATCCACGGCATACCACCCTCAGACCGATGGCGCTACCGAACGGATGAATCAAGAGGTCCTTGTTTACTTACGAATCTTCGTCGCCTACGCCCAGACCGACTGGGCAGGTCTTCTGCCAATGGCCATGCTCGCGATCAACAACCGCGATTCCTCTGTCACGGGTTACAGCCCCTTTTTCCTCACTCACGGGTACCACGCCGAGCCTATCCAACAAAACCAAATCTCATCTCGCTCCAAAACCGACCCCAAGGCCCGTGCCGACCACTTCATTGCCCGCCTACGAGAGGGTCAAGAATTAGCCCAAGCAGCGAAAGCGACGGCACAACAAATCATGGAACACCAGGCGAATAAAGGGCGGCGGCCAAGTCAAAAGTTCGTTGTCGGGGAGAAATCGGGCTCGTGACCACCCTCTTCCTTTTTTTCGGCTTGACGGCCGCCAATTGTGTTTCCAGTGCCTGAATCTGCAATTGAGCTTTTGCTAAAGGCCATCCTTCTCGTCAAACCCTTTGTGATCTTCCTGAACAGCAATCTCTTCGTGGGCACGTCGTCGTCTAGCTGGTTGAATTGAACTACCTGAACCTTCAGATCTTGCGAGCGCCTCGGGGTCGACCACGCAATCTGGGATGTGTCTGATTGCCAGTCACTGGTGGGTAAGTGGCTATTGAATGCATTGGCCACATTTTTCGCGTTCTTTTGCGTCTGTTGCTGTTCTCCAGCAGAAGAGGGCTCAAAAGTGGCTTCGCCATCGACACCGGCCACAAACCCGTCGCTTTCCAGCCACCCTTGATGTTTGACACAGTGAGCGCTTGCTCGCGTGCTTTCTGGTAGCAGGAAAGAAAGTTTTGCTTGCCGACTGGGCTTGAATCGGTCAGGAGGCTGAGAAATCCGACCTGTTTGCGGTAGTAGTGCTTAAGAGCGGAGAAGACAGACAAATCGAGCGGTTGCAGCACATGAGAGGTATGGGGAGGTAAGAAAAGAAGGTGAATCTGATGCTGGTAGCATAGATACATGAAGTCAACCGTCTCGTGACTTCCGTGGCCGTCCAATACTAGCAGTCTTCGCTCCGAAGGGTCGGGTGGCTGGGTTCTTGGAATGAACACCTTTCGAGCCACTCCACCGCAGTTTGGTCCGAAGTCCAGCCGTTCTTTGTCGCAGTGAATTGCCAGTCACTAAAAGTACTGAGATCTTCTGGGAACCACTGTTGCTGGACCGATTTGCCCTTGAAAATGACGAGTGGAGGGAGGAAGGTGCCGGCAGCGGACACGCACTCGATGAACGACGTCCAGACCCGAGAACCAGGCGTCTTCTTTTGTACAGATCGTTTTTCAGCACTGCCAACGACCAGGCCATTCTCCCCAAGTCCTTCCATGATGCCTGCTTCATCCATGTTGTACCTGTTCTCCGGCTTAATAGCCAGAATCTCGGAAGGAAGAAATTGTTGAACCAAGGCCGAATTACCTCGGTAGAAGCGCCGTTGACACGCGCAGAGTCTCTGTGATGGCACTTCTGGGTCCGAACTGCAGGATTTCGTCTTAAAAATGCTTGCATCCAGTGTTTTCCGAGCGGTGTGTGGTCTCCTTTGACGGCGAGCATGCTGCGCGAACTGCCTGATCTGCGAGTGAGTGGGAGGAAGGCCCAAGGCGTCCTGAATGAGAATCCATTCGGTAAGTTGCTTTTCCTGTGTCTGAGAAAGCCTCTGAAGAGCAGAAAATGCATCCTTTCTGCATTCGTGACCATGCATGCGATTGTAAAGAGTTGCCCTCGGACGCCCCAATCGCGAGCAGCCTTCTTGGCGGATCCGCCATTGGCGATTGCCTCAAGGGCGCTGTGAATGTCAGACTCTGTATATTTCATCAGTAGTGGCTTGAAGACACATGCGTCAATTTTTTAGCAGATTGGATGCGTTTCCGCGGTGAAATTTGCTGTTGAAGTTGACGCAGCCGTTTAGGTTGGGCACCCATCTTGGGTGCCCAAAACAGGGGGGTGCCCATTTCTATGTGCAGGGACTTATGTCGCGAAGACCGTTGCGCCACGCAGGCAAAAGCGGAATGCACACTCCAACAAGTGCGCTGCAATCAACACATATCTGACCCCGCCTTCCCGACATTGTCGGAAAACGCGGTTGTCAGATATGTGTCAATTGCAGCGCACCTGTCGGAGCGCGCGTTCCACTTTTGTCGGGAAGGCGGGGTATGTGTTGATTGCAGCGCACTTGTTGGAGTGTGCATTCCGCTTTTGCCTGCGTGGCGCAACGGTCTTCGCGACATCCTATGGGTATCTACTCCGTACGCTGACGGGATTCGAACCACGGGGCCTACTCGAGTGTGTCGCGCGCGCAGTCTAACCGGAAGTTGCAGGGTGGTGTGCCATCCTCCCGGGCTCATACCTGTTGCGAAGACAGTACGCCACTCAGGCAAAAGTGGAATGCACTCCAACAAGTGCCCTGCAAGTAACGTATATATCTGGCGACGTGTACCTTCCGACCAACAAGTGTTCCCCTCGACAGACTTCTTCTCAACAGTTGTACATCCAATTGCAAAATGTTTTCAGCACCGCAGAATTCAACCTTCTCAAAGATTCAAGACGAAATAAATCGAGGTGCTGTTTCAAGTATTGTGGCCAATGTTTGTCCAAATGGTACGACCTTCCATGTTCTTGAGGTTGGTTGGCTAGAGTGCGATGAGGGCTTCGTGGTTCGCGGAGGCAATTGCAGTACCAAGAGTACAGAGGGCCGTCCGTTCATCAACAAACGACGTGAGCTTCCAATGTACTGTATCTTAATTGACCATCCACATGTCGGTCTGATTCTCTGGGAAACTGGCCCCGGAAAGGACTATCCCACGGTATGGGGGCCTGCTCTGTCTGATGTTTTCGCTCGCGTGAGATACGAGCCGCGACATGAGCTTCGTGCAGCGATCGAGACAACAGGACACGACATCAAAGATATCAAGAAAGTCATTATAGGACACTTACATCTGGATCATGCCGGTGGTCTCGATGAGTTTTTTGACAGAACAGATGTTGAGATATGGGTGCATGACAAAGAGCTACGATCTGCATTTTGGTCCGTTGCAACCGGTGCTGACGACGGCGTCTACTCGGAACACTACCTCAAGCTCTCACTGTAGGTTGCTTTGCTGTACAAACCATCTACAATGTCACAATGAACTAACGATATTTCGCTCCTCCCTTCTCAGTAACTGGAAAACGTTTGACGAGCAGACTTTTGCCTTTTGTCAAGGCATCACATTACACCACATACCAGGACACACGGATGGCCTTATCGGGATGCAAGTAAACATGGTCAATACAGGGACGTTCATCTTCATTAGCGACCACTGTCATGTTATTGAGAATGTAAGCACTTTTGACCATACCTGTATGATTCGTTCGCGTCTAACGGAGGGTAATATTCAGTGGAGAGAGGGTATTCCCCAAGGTTGGCTAGCAAGGGATCACCCAGCTTGGTTTCGAAGCACTCAGAGACTGAAGCAGTTGGAAAGAATTACCAAAGGCCAAATTATTCCAGGTCATGACAAGGACTCCTTTCTTGCTCTCCAGAACCAGGCAAAAGTATTTACCTAAATATCCATTTGTCTTCCGTCTGGCCATTAACGTAAATGTCTCGCGAAGAGAGTAGGGCAAGGGGCATAATGTTTTTAGGATGCATGTGTTCTCTTTTTATTTTCCCTCCTGTCTGCTGTACCATTCTCCCATTTATGCCCTTTGCCCTCTCTTCTTCAGTCTTCCATCTCCTTCCTTGCTGACTTACTAATGCATAGGTACCCTCTCTCCGCGTCAGCTTGCCACGTCATCCCAGTTTCATCCTGTCTCATCCCTACACCTTCAGCTAGCTATCAGGCTTCAGGATCAAGTCTTAGACCCTTCTTCTCGACACACCCCCTTAGCTGTTGCCTATCCCTAGCAGAGGGAACAGATACAACCAGACTTGCAAGGGCAACCTCAGTTGAGCCGGGCTAGTGTTCGTGTAGGTCGTGAGACGGCCTCATTCGGTGTTCCCTACAGTCCTTGATCTTGTCCTTCAGCGCCTCCAGCCTAGCCTCCAGTCTCAACCTTTCACCAATCTCTTCAAGCCCAATCAGCCGAAGGAATTCCGCTAGCTTCTGCTTTGGGAGAGCTTTGTCAACCCATCGGCTCGCATTTCAGCTGTTGGAACCCAACGAGGGCGTATTCTGCTTCCTTGCACTTCCTGACGTAGCCAGTGTTGGTGTATATCAACATGCCGTAGCCTGGTTGACAACTTCGGACTTCCTTCTTCTAGGAGCCTTATAGTCTGCGTGTTATCGCACTCGACTACCAACGGCGACGGGATTTGTAGTTGCAAAGAACGGAGCAGTCTGCTGAGGAAGATGGCTTCCTTTGATGCTTCTGAAAGAGCGAGCAGCTCTGCCTCTGTGCTTGATGTAGCCACAGTAGCTTGCTTTGATGCTCTCCATGCGACAGAGCCTCCAAACAGGGTCATGACATATCCCTGGGAGCTCTTCCTGTCGACTGAATTGTCTGCAAAAGATGAATCACTTGAACAGAGGAAAATCTCTGCTGCAGCCGGCTTTCTGCTGCCCCTTTTTGTGCTTCCGGTACTTCCGAGGCGTAGACCATATGATCGTGTGGCATAGAGGTATAGGATCACTCTGTCTGCTGCCTTCTGATGTGTCGGGCCTGGATTCTGATTGAAGCGGGCTAGTCGGGAGACTGCAAAAGCGATATCTGGTCTTGTTGAAATTGCTGAGAATAAGAGAGATCCGACCTTCTGAAGGTAGCTATGCTTGTCTTGGTCTCTTGCTTGGATCGGTTCTGAAAGGAGCTCTTCGTTGGTGGCCATCGGGGTGCTAGGAAGCTTTATGCCTAGTTTGTCCGGAACATACTTATGCGCAATCTTGTCGATATAGGCATCTTGCGTCAGCCAAATCGTCCGACTAGGTCGGTGCCTAAGGATACGGATCCCTAAGAACCACTTAGGTTCCCCTAGTATGCTCATCTTGTATCGTTGCTGCAGGCCGGATTTAGCTTCCGTAGCGACTTGCTGATCCCTTTTTCGATAGGCCCAGATGATGTCGTCGACATAGAAGAAGACAATGACGGCTCCTTTCATCATGACGCATGGTTCCTGAGGGACTGTCTTGAAGCCTAGCTTCTCGAGGGATGCGGTGAGATGCTGTTGCCAAAGAAGGGGGGAACGGCGAAGTCCATAGAGGGCTTTTCGTAGCCGTAGAACTTTACCCCTCCTCTCAAAGCCAGGTGGCATCTTCATAAAGACAACTTCTTCTTCCTCAAGAGGGCAGTTTACAAATGCGTTGATCGCGTCCATCTGGTCAAGCTCAAGGTCGTATTCAGCTGCTAGAGCCATCAGGGTCCGGAATGACATCCCTGCTAACGTTGTGGCTCTAGTCGGAAGGTCTCCTTTTGCTGGTTCCCACAGACAGGGTTGAAAGCCACTCCACTCAATCCACTGGCTGCTCGAGTGGAGTGGGTAGATCATAATCCACTGAGTATCTCAGTATAGTGGATCCACTGGGAGCTATCGTGGATTAGGTGGATTGGGTGGATTGGCAAGTGCCTCCATTCGTGATGGTGAAGCTATTCCCGAAGTTCTTGCCACCCTACGGCCCATACCTCCCCCATCCAAGTTCCAAGCGAGGCTATCTCCAATTGGCTTCTATCTCGTCCTGAACGCTCGCCGCCTGGGTAAGCCACTTTGTTGCCCACCCCTCAAGCTGTTCATCTGACATCTGAGCCAATTCGACATTGACTTTCTCTTCGTCCATCGATATAAAGCAGGGATCTAAATCATGAATAATACCAGCCCTTAACCATGAACGCAATACCTGGCACATCCCGATAATCCGGGCTTCAAGTTGGTGGCGCAAGGGGTTCACCATCCGACCCGCTGCCGAGAAAAGACGCTCACACTTCCTTGTCGAAGCGCTTGATAAAGTCGTTCGCGATTGCTTGTTCTCGGGGGTCGTGTAGATCAAGTTTCAAGGATTCCGCGAGAGTCCGCTGCCCCGTAGGCCTCCTGTTCTTGGAATCTGCCTTCTTTTCGGCAGTTCCTTTGGTCCTACCAGGCGGAGCGCGAATCCCGTGGTCGTTGAACAGATGGTTGTACGCGTTGTGGATGCCATCAGCTTCGAAATGACGTGGATGCAGTGTGTTCTTGCGAATGCACGCTTGGCAGATCCATCTGCGGTCGTCTTCCTTTTGGATGTCATATCCAAATTGCCAGGCCCAGCAACGCGTTTCTCTGGCTCGCTCAGAGAACGCCCAGCCAGGGAAATGCCTCCAGAGCGTACGTTCGTAGTGTTCATCGCTTGTGGAAAGGGTCGCCGGAGTCGATACAGGGGTCGAGGTTGAACGGGCAGGATACGACGTTGGGCAGGGCGTTGATTCGGGACGGATCCGAAGCCGCTGTCGGAGATATCGACGCAAAGGTCAGGCGAGGTCATGGTAAAAAATAATCTGTCTATCATGTCGAAACGACGAAACCACAAAGATGGTGGCAGTAAAGGGTCAACAACAGGTCCAGGTAAACGCGAATAACGCGTCCAACGCGACTAGTTGGCACATTATACCCTTATCCTCCGGATGTTTCGGATACTTATTTTCAGGCTAATTTGTGAGGATAAGCAAGTAGCGAGTGCCAAATTGAGCTCGAGTATTAGATAAGTTCCTAACAGCCTTTAGATCGCGAACTTGACACGATTAATGTCGCTTGCAATTGCTCGCGCAGTATCGAGATATCGGAGGATCCAAACGCGTTTTTCGAATTAGCTTGCCAGACGCTACCTGAGGGTGTAAGTGTTGCACTGTAAATACCAAATATGGGCAATCGGGCTCAAAACGTGCTTGAAATGTAATTATGTGGGAGGAAAATATGTGAACTATTGACCGCCTTAATGACGATATAGCACTCATTAACCAAATATTAAGCACACGTTTCAAGACTTGTGCTATTCCAATGAGAAGACTAGGAAATTCGAACTGCACTATTATTATTATATGTGTTATAAAATCACGATGTTTAGAAGCGTTATGATTCTTTCGATTAATACAGGGTAGCAGCATCAGAGAGGCGCATCTGCAGCTGTTAGAGGGCTCTGCTAAATACATGGGCGTTCTTAACTACACCACTTCCAATCCACCAATCCACCCACTCCAGCTCCAAGTGGATTCGGTGGATTAGCTAATCCACCGACATTTTGCCAGTGGATTAGCCAGTGGAATCCACGAGTGGATCCACTACGTGGATTGAGTGGAGTGGCTTTCAACCCTGCTCCTACATAAGGATGAGGCAGTCATAGCTTAATTGGAGGGACAACCATCCGAAAGCAGTGTGGCTAACAATCAAGCTCGAACTTGATAAGTCTCAATCAAGTTTGACTTCCCATCAAGTCAAGTTCTCAAGTCAAGTTTAATAGCTGTCGTCAATCAATCAAGTTGCAAGAGTGTCAAGTTGTCAAGTACTTGATGTAAGAGGAGATGACTACCCTGGACCGGTGCGAAATTGGCCAATTACATTGCTTAGAATCGACGTACTTTGCCCATTGTGCGGCCGTTGTGCGGTTATGGAACGTAAAATAACTTAGCGCATTGCCCCCACTGGGATCTTCACCCAGGCGAAGTGGAACCCTACCTACTCCTGCTCCACCAAGCCGCTATCCACAACGCGTCGAATCGACGCGTTATGATGTCGCTACACGCGTTTTGGGGCCCAAGCCGGTCGTCAAGTACGCGAAGCTTATCTGTGACGTCTTCCTCGAGGCAATCTACCGATCTAAACGAGCCGATACCGTCGACCGAGCAAACGTCAGGCGTGGAGCAACCTCTCCATCGGTCTACCTGCCCTCCACATTCTCTGGCGTTCCCAATTGACTGGGGCGTGCTTCGGCGGCACGATGGCACGATTCTCAAGGGTATACAGTATCGCATACGGGACAAGAGGAACGTGGGCAGACGAGTGAAGGTCTCGTGGATCTATTCATATGGAGCAGAGCTGGAGCATAGTAATGACAAGTACTTCCTGTGCGCCGATTGCCATACCAAGAAGCGGTATACCAGTCAGTTATTCGCAGCAGAATCGACGACAGCCGCAATCCAGCATCTTTTAGAGTTCCACAAGATCAAACGGCCTTCGAATTCGACCACCGATGACGATGATTTCGACGCCACCAACGCCGCAGAAGTTTTCCAGCTCGTCATGCCATTTAATGAGGATGAGTACAAGCAGAAGCTCATTGACTGGGCCATCAAGCTACGCCTTAGCTACCGAGAAGTCACGGACGAGTCGACCACTGATTTACTCACATACGGCAAGCCTCCGCTCGCGCGCCTGTTGCCAACGCATCACTCAACGCTCTCGCGGTGGGTGAAGGATTCGATGGCAGCACGCTTACCATTCATCATCGAATTTGTGCAGTCCGCACTCAGCACCATCAACCTCTTGATCGACGGATGGCGGGCTCACAATCGCAGAGAGTACATCGCTGTTTGCGGACACTTCGTCGATGGCCAAGGCCATCCTCGAACACTCCTCCTCGGCTTCCCACGACGTTATGGCGGTCACACTGGCGACGACCTCGCAGCACTGGTAAAGCCAGTAATTCTACAATACGGCATCGGCGAGAAGCTCGGGTGAATCTTATTGAGGCTTCGGAGGAGCAGCGTGTAGCTCTCTGGACCCTCAAAGGCGTCATTGGCAAGCTGCACAACCTCGTTGTCTACATTAATCGAAACGACGCACGCCGTGAGCAGTTGAGAGCTCGCATGCGCGTCACGAAGACAAGCGACGGCATGCTGTTCGTCGGCGTGCTCCTCAGTGACGGTGGCATTCGATGGAACGCGACGTTCTACATGATCGAGCGTGCTCTTAAGTGTCGGCCTGCCATCGATCTTTACCAGGCGCAGTGGAAGCCTCCAGATAAAAACGACAAGCACAAGAATGACTTCCTCACCGAGGCTGATTGGCACGAGCTTGAGCTCTTCTATAGGCTCCTGCAGCCCTTCGAGCGACTCACGAAGCGACTACAATGCCGTGCAGATGGCGAGGGCAACGAGGGCGGCCAAGGCTCGGTGTGGCAAGTACTTTACGCCATGGACTTCTTGCTCACGAAGCTTGAGAGCGTCAAAGAAGAGATACACGCAATGGATGCTGATAACAAGGACGAACTTCCGCCCTATTACTCCGCAGGCGTGCTCGCTGCATGGTCGAAGATCAACACGTACTACGAGCTCACCGACCGATCACCGATCTACCGTATGGCCATCGCTCTCCACCCAGCCTACCAATTCGAATACTTCAGGGCGAAGTGGTGGAAGCGAGGATTGGATAAGGACAGCACAGAAGGAGCTAACTGCATATTACGATCGCTTCGCCGCAGTCACGGTGGCCACTGACCACGTCGACCAGGCCGAGACTTCTCCTTGTTCCTCGCCGACAATCGACGACGAATTCGATGCTTGGGGCCATACAACAGATCGACCACACCGTGGCAAGAGGAGGAAGGTGGAGACCGAGTGGGAGGTCTGGATAAAGCAGGTGCCGTCGAAGGACGACATGAACGTTAAGAATCCTCTTGCGTGGTGGGTGGACCGACGCCACGTTTGGCCCATTCTCAGCAAACTTGCCCTTAACATCTTCAGTACGCCGGCGATGAGCGCAGAGCCAGAGCGCGTATTCTCCGACGGCGGCGAGCTTATCACCGACAAGCGCAACGGCCTCGGCGATGACACAGTTGAAGCTGAGATGATACAGAAGAATTGGATTACTTCCAAGATTTTGCATCGGATTGCGACACCTCGAGGTCTATACAAATTACCGGATTAGGTATAATACATCAAGTACTTGACAAGTTGTCAATCAAGCTCCTTGACTGGTCAAGTCAAGCTTCAATCGAGTTGGACATACCTTCAATCAATCGAGTTCGATGGTCGAAATTGAACTCGATTGATTGTTAGCCACTCTCGCAATAAAATGAGGGTAAGAGTCAATCTGTTCATTGTCGTCTATCTAAAATGAATGTGAGAAGTTCTGTCTTCTTATAGTCCTGAGGGAATATGACTGCTTTGCGGTGGCGAATTTGCCACTTGCCACCCAGGCTGCTTTGTGATGCTATCTAGAAAGTTCCATCTCGTCGCTTAACAATCGCGCGTTTCATCATGCGTATCCTGAATGCGACAGCCACACTGCATCCGACTTCATCTCATTCATATGCAAAATGCATCAGAGTCCAAATTCCAGGTTCGCCGACATTGAAGCGATACGGCGGGCGCAGGAGGAGGTCAATGCAGCTGAGAATGAAGACCCTGATGGAACCGAGGCGGAGCTTTCAGACATTGGTGATGAATGTATCGTAGTGCGTGTTGGTGGCGAGTAAACGGCGATTGAATTGGTGGTTGTCAAAACAGATGGAAATTTTTTGGGGTGCCGATAACAGGGGGGTGCCGATTTCTATGTGCAGGGACTTACATCGCATCCGCGGGCTGCTGAGGCCTCACTATCTGGAAGCAAACCCCACTGACTGAGCCAAGTGGCTATCCATTCCTTATTTACCGGGCCGAGCTCTCTGAGAATTTGGCTGACTAGTGCTGCGTTGCGCTTGACCAGCTGTCGAGGCTTCTTGCTGGTTTGTAAACTTTTGTAAAATCCAATGAGCTTGATAGCTGGAAGCCGTTCCACTTCGTACCTGGAGGGGGTTCTTTGATCAATCGCCGTTATCCATTCATTATATGGGATAACCTTTAGCTCCGGCATCATTTCGACGGTCCAGGACACTATGTCTGACCAGTGAACAACATCGGGATGAATAATATGATATACTGGTAGTTCCGGAGTGCTTTTGCCGTCAATACCGGACGCAGCACTCACGGGATGCGACCTCGCAATGTCTAGAAGTACTTGGGCTACTTTATTAACAGGTAGCCACTCGACACTTTCGCGATTTGGAAAGTCGCCAGGGATAAGGCCGAGTCGTGCTGAGGAAATGAACAACTAGTTGCAAGAGAAAGTTCAGTTGACTCTGTGTCATGCGAAAGGCGTATCAATACATACCGCGGGAATATATTCGTTTTGGTTCCAGGCACCATTTTGGTTATCAACTGGTCCAGTGATCACGCCGACTCGGCAAATTACTGCTCGTAAGCCAGATACCAAAACCGCATACCGCAGAACGCATTCAGAAACAAGCTTCGCCTGGCTGTAACCCATCGGGCCAGCCGCCGTGAGGTCGAGAACGACGTCCTCAGGCACACGCTCGGATGCTTGCCAGCCGCCAACGGCGGAGACACTGGAGACAAAAGCAACACGGCCGATTTTGCAGAGCCCAGGCAGAAATCAGAAAGGTTTCGAACGCCCTGGATATGGGGTGCGAAGGACGAGAGAGGCCACTGAAAATTGACTGGCCATTGGTTGTGGATGACGTGTGTCACTGTCTCTGTGAGTTGCTGGTACACATTGGGCCTCAGACCTAGGAAAGGTGCTGAAAGATCAGCATGTAGAAACGTAACGCGTTTCGAGTTCCAATCAGCGTTGTGGCCCTTGGCAGAAGCGAGAGCCGCTTGACGAGCTGCTGCGTCAGCTGTCCGGTTTAGACAGACAATGCCTTGGACGTTAGGGTCGCGGTCAAGGCAATTTAGTAAATATGAGCCCAGAGATCCAGTGCTTCCAGTTAAGAGCACGGTCATTCTAGGGCTGGCTCTGGTTTGAGGAAGATCAGAAATGCATGAGCTTAAGAGCGCCTTCATTACTTGAACTTCCTCTGCCGCTTCAAGTTTCGTGCTGTTGCACGCCTTTTGATTTCCATTAATGACGTCTGCCGCCGAAGATAGTTCCACGACATATTTGGCAAGCTGAGAAAGGGTCGGGTGCATATAGATATCGGTTGGGGTGATGCCGCCTGCTATATTGAAGTTGATTTCTCGCGTTATCATCGTAGCTTCAAGTGAATCGACGCCAGCTCTGAAAAAGTCGTCGTCTGGATCAAGCTGTCGCGGCGTTGCTTCCCTACCATGGTGACAATGCTCAGCCAGCAATTGTCTCAGCCAGGCCATCACACTATCATAGTCTCGCCAAGGTTGACTAGTCAGGAGTTGAGGTCGTTCTGGCGCTATATTCCGCCTTTCAATGTGCTTATAGAATGCTTCAATCTCTGTGCTGTAGAGTTCATTCGTAATGCGCCTCTGGATCTTGCTCTGGCCAAGAAAATGCAAGGGCTTAGACGGGTCTGCAAACAGGATGTGGTGGCGGTCCAGCTGGCCATGACGAGGAGCATGTTTGTTGGCCTCCGCTACTACAGGTAGCAACCTTTGAATCAGTTCATGGCGCGATTGCTGATCTTCCGGGTGTTCGACGCCGGGTACCAGGTCGATTAATGCGAGGGGTTGGAATCGCCCCTGCCCCACTATAATAGCACCGCGGACGAGTGAACTCCTCGCGAGGGCCGTCTCCATTAGCACAGGAGTAAGCTTTTCTCCATTGCTCAATACAATAACGTCATCCTTTCGCCCGCGATAGCGCCACAAGAATGGCTTGTTCGGATCGGGGTGCTGATCGTAGAGATCGTTCATCGACCATTCGGATATCTGGGGAAAGGCGTAAAAGGTGCCCTGAAAATTCTTAATTTTGGCGTCTCGAACAATGATGAGTTCAAATAAGCCAGGATAATCCTGGCACTCCCGCATTTGAATCCCTGAATGAGTGGGATGCCAATAAAAGTACTCCCAGTCGACGGCGGATGGAGCCAGTCGAGGAAGATTGGCTGTCTCTGTAGCACCCAGATTCCCAATTACTCGCGTATATTGAGAAATAGTGTCACCGGCACTTTTGGATAGCGGCGCTGTTCGTTCCGTCAGCTCTAAGAACGGCGAATTGCGGGTTTGAGGGGGATTACATGCCACCACTAACAACGACATAGGAAAAGCCCTTCATGTGTTCTAACCAATCTGGTTGTGTACTGATATCCTCGTAAAGGGAGGGCGCTCCCATTGAAGCATTGACATCAGCAAATCGGTGCATTGCGTCCACGTATGCAGCGTTGGGCACAACATGCGGCGCTCCGAAAACGAGGGTCACTCCGAGACACAAAGCCCAGGTGATGGTGGCGTTTATACCGCTCGTGTGGAAAAGCGGCATTGAAGTATACGCTCGTTTTGCCTCTTGGTAGATTTCTGTAGTCGGCCTGAAACTGCCGATAGGCGGCACTGTCCGCCACGCTTCGTAGGTGCTGAGCATGCCGATCTTCCACGCAACGGCTTTGGGCAGACCTGTTGATCCTGTGGTATGCAACACCAGGCAAGGGTCATGTTGCGCCTCATCAAACGATTTGAGATAGGGGTGCACAGGAACCATCCTGGAATCATCTAGGAGCTGCTCCAGGTCCGGTGCCTCTATTGTTCGCATTGGTCGACTCTGGATTATCCGGGAGATGTCGGTGTTTTTCGCCTGTAGAAACTTTTCGCAGTCACCTTGAGCGAGAATGTTCAAATGACCATCTAGATTGTTTCGTGGTGATGTGAATAACATCTATCGCAATGTTATCAAAATCCTGGTCACATATATTCACCGGGAGCAGGACACGGCAAGTACCTTGTAACCCACCCTAATGGCAGCAAACATGAATATGAGATATCGAATATCATCTGCCGCCTACTTAGCCCAAGCTTTGTGCATAAAATTTACAGAAAAATCATCTTACTAGGGCCAATGTAAGCTATTGACTCAACAAAGGTTGGTTCTCCAAAAGATTCTACGAGATACCAACTCGCCATGTTGATTGCGTTTGCAAAGCAGCGGCTATTGACCTCAAGGAAGCCGTCTCGAGGGTCCGAAGTCCGGGGAAATGCGAAAAGAACATGGTTGGGAACTACACAGGCGAGTTCTTGTGGTCGGAGGTGGATCAAGCGGCATGGTGAAGCCCTTTCGAGGCTGAAGACAGGGTGAATTTCTTTCTTTACAGCACTGTTTGACATGATGAACCTGTTCTCGCGAAGAGAGCAGGGCAAAGGGCATAATTTTTTTTGGAGGTGCATGTGTGTTCATTCTTCCCTTCTGTCATAGGCCCTTATTTATCCCCTTGCCCTGCTTCTTCCTCCGTGTTCCATCTTCTTCCTTGCGGACTTACTAATCATTAGGCACCCATCTCTCCGCGTCAGCGTGCCACCTCCCTGTTTCATCATGTCTCGCCCCTACACCTTCAGCTAGCTATCAGGCTTCAGGATCAAGTCTTAGACCCTTCTTCTCGACACCTGTAGATAAAAATCGTCTTGAAAAAACCCTATGAAACCGAAGGCCTCATTTGTCGGAACGGCAGAGCGCAACTAGAGGTTATTGCTTGCTGAACGTCCGGGTGGTACATATTTTGGCCAGAACAATGAGTCATGACGAATTTGAACCCTTTTGTTTCATGTCGCGTGAAACTTCGTAAGGGAATGCCTGTTTAGAACCAACTGTCTCCGTCCTTACCTGATGCGCCACCAGGTCGTAAAGAGGAGTTATTTTAGAATATTGCTGTTAGATTGGCGCCAGCTGAAACTGTCACAGCCAGAGCTAGTAGTTCGAAATATCATGTCATAGAGATACATCCTTCGGACTGTATTACACCCTCCCACCGCCGGTGAGGGTGTCAGCATATTTTAATGGCAATTGATGGGCCTACCCGTTGGCTAGCTTGGGCGCCCCGCGCCCAAGCTAGCCAACGGGTAAATAGGGTCCTCGATTTCTTGCTTTATCTTCTCAACACCCGTGGCATCTCTTCTCGCGAAGGAGAGAGCAAAAGTGGGCATAAAAGTGGATAAAGGGACTTTTCGAAGGTCGAGTATCATACGATCAGATGGTATGTGAAATGCATGTGTTCATTGCTCTGTCCAGTTGCCCTGTATCCGTCTAGCCCTCCCCTTTTATATCCCTCTGTGCCTTCCCTGTGTTCATATCCCGTGTTCAGGTATAATGTACATTCTATCAGGAAGAGGGCACTTCTTGCCTCTCACTGAAGGCCGCGTAAGCCATCTACGTCAGCACATTCAGCTCGATCTCCCCGATCAATAATTAGCTTTCCAAGCTATTAGGTCGATAGTTCAATCTCTTGAGGTCCCCGAGCCAGTAAAGATATACCGGGCTCCTTGGAGGATCCCGATCGAATAGGAGATCCTCCGGACCCCTCAGTGGACCACAAACCTCCTCCTTACCTGGTTTCGAGCTGTTTTACCTAGAGAGACCTAGAGGCCTCACTTCGTTCGGACCTTCTTCTCGACATCTCTGGCCCTGCGCTTCTGATCAAACTCTTACGTTAATACAGTCCCCATGGCCCGCTATGTCCTCCAGATTTGCCACGCTCTCGTCCAGGAAGATTTGTGACTTCCGCAGTTCCCATTGAGATTCATCGGCGCCGCAATTTCTGTGTGGCTGAGGAAGGCTACTAAAGTAACTCTCCGGGCATGTTGCAAACAGATTATACAAGGCACTGTCGTCGCCTTTGCCGTATTGAAGCTCGGGGTCGAATGTGGCACTGGACGCGCGTATTGGGGCATCACCCCAAGGCAGGTCAGTCAGCGTTACAATGTTGCTCATACTGTCGCCGGATCCAAGTCGATGAAAATGGCAGGGCTTACGGTTCGTTCGTCGGGATTCAGGCATGTTCAAACGTCGAAAAGGAACGAGGAAAGACTTTGTATCTCATGATCCCGAAAAGTACAACCGTTGGAGCTATTCCAGCCCCCTACTGGAAGGGGCGAGATGCAAGCCAGACGAGGATGGGTAGCCACATTCGGGAGCACTAGCCACACGGCGTCCATAAGACGGCGTCCGTAGTAAAGTGGTTCGGCGCGCATATCAATTGCCATTTTAATAGCTGACGCTACCACAGCTACCCGTGCCACGCCCCACTTTTATTTGGAACTCGCAAGCTCGCACCACCTCGATTGCGATGGATTACCAGGAACAATGCCGCGGAAAAGCAAGAACAGCACCAAGCGCAACTCGAACCAATTCGAGTTGCTCGATGACGAGGATGACGGTACGAACGACAATGTGGCCTGTAGCATCATTGTGGCCAATTCGACAAGCGCGGCCGACGCGACAAGGACCAGCGCTCGCGGTCGCCCTCTGAAACCGACACTGCAATTCGACCCAGAACCGCGCCCATCACGAAAGAAATCCGCCGTCCCGAAAGCGAAATCGACGAATGCCGACCCCGGTGCCAACGAGGATTCATTGGCACGAATCGAAGCTCTCTTGAAACGCGTCGAGGAGCGGGCCGAAAGGGCAGGGAAACGCGTCGAGTCCTTGGAAGAGTTCATTCGAAACGAGCTCTTCCCACGCGTCGCTAGCCCTCCGGAGTCCACTCCAAATGCGCCTCATCAGCAACAGCAACAGCACCTGCCACCTTCGCCACCACCCTCTCCAGTCCCAGGACCACTGCCAGGCATTGGGTTGGACGTGAGTCGGGTCCTAGATAGTGACATAAAGGAAGGCAATGCCGGCACTATTCGTCGGCGCGCGAACGCTGCCCTTGAGAATTTGGGTGTGACCTGTCTTGGCGTCAATTCTAAAGGAAACGGGCGTTTTCGGCTTCTCTTTCGAGAGACGGACGTCGATAAAGTACGGCAGAACGACACCTGGATAAGGACACATTTCGACAAGGGAACGCTATATGGGGAGCAGTGGTACCCTCTACGGGTTGATAGAGCCCATCGTGGGGTTGCGACGGATGATATCGGATGCGCCGTGTTTGGGCGGATGAACGGGGTGAAAGTGCACAAGATGCGATGGCTCGGGACAGCGTCTGTCGACAAGGAGTACCGCTCTCTGGTGGTACACCTGGATAAGAAAGAGGAGGTGGACAGGTTGCTTGCAAAACGAACGGTTGAGATGGCGAATGGCGAGTGTGCATACACGCGACCATTCGTTCAGGGACTTCAACCAGCGAGATGCTACCGTTGCCACCTCTACGGACACTTGCATTATCGCTGCAAGGCCCCAGCTCCGATCTGTGGACAGTGCGGCCAACCGGGCCATTCTGCGTCGACTTGCACCTCGAACGTTTTTAAGTGTGCAGCGTGCGGTGGAAAAGGAGCACACAAGGCTACAGATCCTGGGTGCCCGGTATATCGCCGGGAACTCGCCAAGTTACGACCGTCGCCCTACTAACATACATCCTCTGTCTTAACCTTTTCTTTTCAGCACAAACCCTCTACCTATACCTGTGGTTGCCCCACAGCTGGTAGGTTAGCTACACCGGACGGCTAAAGGCAGGTGGACTCTTCGTCAAATGCGGCGGAGGAGAGTGGTCTGTACTCATCAGACAGGCTCCAGAATTGGAAAGGACAGGTCAAATGAGCAAGAGACGGATTGAAGGATGTAAGAGAAATTTAGGCATTCGATCGGGACGAATTCCTTGGGCTCGGAACCGAGAATGGACAACTCTAGATTAGGCTTAGCGAGTCTGACGCAGTGCCTCTGACTATCGTCAATGGCGAAATAAACATCATCATCGATTGCGATGACATAAGTGCTTACCGGCTGGTCTGCGTCGTGGAGGCATGACAATCGTGACAAGCAACCTGTCCGTCCTGCAAGTCATTGCGCGGCCGCGACAGCAGTCGGGACAACGTACGATCCGCGAGATATACGAATGCGTCGAGACTTTGCGGAGAAGAGGATGCAGCGTTGCCCTTCGATGGGTACCCGCCCACGAAGACTTCACGATGAGCCCGCTGGCTAAAGCAGCCGCGAAGAGAGCAACCAGGGACGAATGCGCTGCCGAACCAGCGGCATTCAAAGCAAGGTCAACGACGCTACGACTGCTGCTCAACGGACAGAGACAGATCAACCAAATTCCAGAACGAGTCGGGAAGTGGTCGAGAAAGATTGACAAGGCGCTACCCAGTCGGCACACTCGAAAGTTATATGACGAACTGACAAAGAAAGAAGCACGCGTGCTGGGGCAACTTCGCACCGGCAAATCTCGACTGAACAATTACCTTTACAAGATAGGAGCTGTGGATTCGGATGAGTGCATGTGCGGACAGACAGCAGAGACAGTGGAACATTTCCTTTTCCGATGCAATAGGTGGACATCACAGCGAGAGATCATGCTTCGGTACACACGCGACAAGATTGGGGACCTATCGTTCTTCCTGGGAGGCAAAGCAGCATCAGACAATGACAAGTGGCAGCCGGATATGAAGGCTGTACGAGCGACAGTACAGTTCGCGTTGGCAACCAAACGCCTCAACATGGACCAGCAGATGACGAACTAACCACAGACCGAAGACACACAAGCATTAAACAGCCTTCCACGTGACAGACCGCGCTTCAGCCGCTGAAGGTAGGACGCTGAACACTTGGAGAAACTGACCTTCAAGCAGGCCTGTCATGTCACAGCGATCGAGGCTGGAAACAGATGAAAAGAAGTGTGGTGTTGGAATACTAACCTGCTGAGTAACCCGTGCAATCGGGATACCATCACGGTTCATGCACGACTCCCACGTGACACCCTACCCCGCGATCAGGGCACGCAGCCCCGGCTGCATGCCCCCATTACCGGGTGCACATTCCGTTTCTTGTGAATAGCTTCCTCTTCCCTAGTTAGTTACAATTGAAGTCATCACCGGTTACCCTACCTGTCGTGACTGTGACTCAGCCTACAGCTTGTGCGCATGCGTATCTGTAGGCACATAGGTGCCTACCATCATGTGGGGCTTTAGGTGAGATGGGACCATGTACAGAAGGGTTAATAGCTTAGCGTAGTGGCTCTATAGGGGGAACCCTCCGGGCGTAATACAACTTAAAAAAAAAAAAAAAGGTGGTGCTCTTCGTTGGGTGCCTGCAAAGAATGAGGAGTTCACTCTAGGGCCACTGGCCAAAATGCAAGCGAAAAGAGCGACGCGAGACGAGTGCATCGCCGAACCAGCAACGTTTCAAGCAAGATCAACGACGTTACGACTGCTGCTCAACGAACACGCTCGCGTTCGTCAGATCCCGGAAGGGGTTGGAAAGCACTCAAAGCGCATCGATAAGGCATTGCCGGGCAAGCACACCCGCAAGTTGTACGACGAGCTAACAAGAAAGGAATCCGAAGTGTTGATACAACTTCGAACTGGCAAATCGCGGCTGAATAGCTACCTCTGCAAAATCGGGGCGGTGGAATCGGATGAGTGCACTTGTGGGCAGTCTGCAGAAACAGTGGAGCATTTCCTCTTTCGATGCAGAAGATGGACGGTACAACGAGAGACCATGCTGCGATATGCGCGCGGAAAGGTGGGAGACTTGTCTTTCTTCCTAGGAGGCAAGGCAGAGTCAGACGACGACAAGTGGCAACCTGATATTGGGGCTGTGCGTGCGACGATACAGTTCGCATTGGCGACAAAACGCTTCAGTATGGACCGTTAACGGGCCATGTACTGATCAAGAACAACCATACTAACACAACAGCCTTCAACTTGGCAGACCGCGCTTCAGTCGCTGAAGGTAGGACGCTGAACACTTGGAGAAACTGACCTTCAAGCAGGCCTGTCATGTCACAGCGAACGAGGCTGGAAACAGATGGAAAGAAGCGTTGGGCTTTAGGTGAGAAGAAACCATGTATAGTAGGTACGTAGCTTAGCGTAGTGGCTCTATAGGGGGAACCCTCCGGGCGTAATACAACTAAAAAAATAAAAAATAAAAGTGGTGCTCACCACCGATATAACCACACCACCGCAATAACCAGAATTTCGACCCCAGGCCTTCAACATCCCTGCATCTCAACCAATTCACGATTTTGTGACTAGCCAAAATGGAAGCACGTATTCAAGACGCTCTTAAACATATTGACAATTTTCCTGGTGCCAAAGTGGCTACGGTGGCGCGAGAATTCGGTGTACCACGCGGTCGATTGCGATACCGTCTTCAAGGCCGTCCTCCTAAAACTGCCCAATCAGCCAAGAACACGAGGCTTTCGCGACCAGAAGAGAATGCATTGTGTCGCTATATCGATCGTCTGGACAATGTGAACCTTGCGGTACGCATCGAGTTCGTTACTGACGCGGCAAACTGCATCTTGCGTGAGCGGTCTGGCCAGAGCGACGCTCCTACCGTGGGGCCAAACTGGACTTCTCGCTTCTTGAAGCGTCACGGCTACTTCAAAAAGCGCCAAAAGAAGCTTCACGCAGAGCGTCAAGTCTCTGAGGATCTTACACGAGTTAACCAGTATTTCCAGTGTCTTCAGCAGGTTATCCAAGACAATGGTATACCTCCCGAGGACATCTGGAATATGGACGAGACTGGTTTTCGCATCGGGGTTGGCAAAGACCAGCTGATTGTGACAAAACGGAGGAGAGCTCATTATTTTGGCATTCCTGAGAATAGGGAATCTGCCACTGCGATCGAAGCTATCTCAGCGAATGGGGAGGTTGTTCCGGCATTTTTGATACTCGCTGGCCAGATGCACATGGCTTCATGGTATCAAATACCTGAGCTGGCTCCTGACACAGTTATTCGACCCACGCCTACTGGTTACTCAAACGACGTGATTAGTTTGGAGTGGCTCCAGCATTTTGACAAGCACTCGGAAAAAAAGCTCAAGAAGCTCGAAGCGTCTTCTGATTCTCGATGGTCATGGCTCTCACCATACCAGGCAGTTCATTGAATACTGCGACAACCACAATATTATTCCCCTTCGGGATGCCACCGAATCTCACGCATGTACTTCAGCCTTTGGACGTTGTGGTTTTCCAGCCACTAAAGCATTATCACGCCAAGGCCTTAGATCTCATGGTTCGAGATGGTGATGCATTTTGCATATGGATGAGATGAAGTGGGATCGATGTCTCTCCAACTAAGCTATGACTGCCTCATCCTTATGTAGGAGGCAGCCAGGTCGGACTATCTAGGCGATCCGGCCGGTTTACAAGGCAGCCACATACCGATGCCTGTTCACACGGCTGCCTGTTTCACACGGCTGCCTGTTTCACACGGCTGCCTGTTCACACGGCTGCCTGTTCACATGGCTGTGCGTGCGGCAGCCGGTGTCCTTGATGCTTGGTGCCGTGCCCAACGCTCCAGTGTGCGTAGGGACACGCAAAAACGCATCAGATGGCCTCATCAACATAACCAAGCTTGAGTTTCTCTCCTGCATTCAACAAGTACGATTGCAAGCCTTCAAGGAGAGTACTATACGCTCCGCATTTCGCAAGACAGGAATATTCCCATTCAATCCACAAGTAGTACTTCAATGTTTGGAAGCTCGTCAAGCCAGGACACCCACACCTCCTCCCAATTCAGAACCACACTCTTCACCTTTCGGGACACCATTGACTCTACGACAAATAAACAAAGTAGCGGAAAAATTAGAGATCGTCCTTGAAGAGTATGAAAGCCTGGATCCCGACTTTTCTCATGATCTCAGTCGATTTATTCGAGGATCGCGATCTCTGGCTACTGAGCTCGTGCAGACTAAAAGGGACTTGGGACGAACCAAAATGGCGGAGCGGATCCAAAAACAACGTAAGGCTATGAAGAATATACAGTTACAATCAGGAGGAGTGCTATCGGTAGCCCAAGGACGGGAAATGGTGCAACAAAGGGAAGATGATCAGATTGCTAAAGCAAGGAAGGTAGTCGAAGACGCGGAGAAAAAGGCGCATAATGGACGCAAGCGATGGTTTGAGGAAGCAGCAAAAAGGCACGCCAATGGAGGGCTTCAGGAAGGTTAGAACGAGTGGAAATACGCGATTCTGAGCGTGGTACGCGGTGGTTGAAGCGATTCTAGGTCGGGGGGTCGAAATTCTGGTTATTGCGGTGGTGTGGTTATATCGGTGGTGAGCACCACTTTTATTTTTTATTTTTTTAGTTGTATTACGCCCGGAGGGTTCCCCCTATAGAGCCACTACGCTAAGCTATTAACCCTTCTGTATCTCACCTAAAGCCCCACACTTCTTTTCATCTGTTTCCAGCCTCGATCGCTGTGACATGACAGGCCTGCTTGAAGGTCAGTTTCTCCAAGTGTTCAGCGTCCTACCTTCAGCGGCTGAAGCGCGGTCTGTCACGTGGAAGGCTGTTTAATGCTTGTGTGTCTTCGGTCTGTGGTTAGTTCGTCATCTGCTGGGAGCACCACCTTTAGGTGGTGCGAGCTTGCGAGTTCCAAATAAAAGTGGGGCGTGGCACGGGTAGCAGTTCGACATGTGCCCTGACTTCTGACTCACATCGCAACAGATAATAAGACATACAAGTGATGAAATAGAGTGTACTCAAGCTTCAAAATACCCTCCACCACGTGCAAGCTGGTACTGTACCGCACCCGCAACAGGTTGCTTCCAACGCGGACGATTCTGGCAGAACGCCTCCAATTCCGGTACGGGAACTTGTTCAAATAGGCCCAACTTCAAAATTACCTTGCCTGGGAGTAGCTCACTGTGTGACATGATAGGGCTAAAAACGTGAGACAGATATTAGTGTCACATCGTTTCTTCATGACCTTGCCCTTTGACTCAAAATTCTGTGTTACCTGCCATCGACGCCACAGAACGTCCGTATTACCGGCCGGCCCGACGAAGTGTCAAGGTCATTATATGTCTTCAGAGTGCCAGATTTATCACTGATGTCGACTCTGCTCTCTTCGATGATGAGGTTGGCGGCCACTACGCTGCCAGACGCTTTTTGACAATTTCTGCAGTGGCAAAGGTGGCCGCGCGTTTGCGTGGAAGACCACTCCTCATCGAGGATGGTAACGGAAACGGAGCCGCAGAGGCAGGTGCCTACTACCGGTTTGTATGCTTGTATCTGCACCGAAGCCATGACTATGGCGGACGTGTGGTGGTCTGTTTTTGAGGCGAGAGCGAGCGCAAGGAAATTGGACAAAGTGGATGGGCTCGCATTCCAGGCCGTCCGGGGTTATAAAAACCTCGGCGATTAGCCCAGAGATGGAAGTCAAATCACAGTCGCTCACAAGCTGACACCACGAGAGCCAACACGCTACACAGCCTTTCGGTCAGGGTGCTAGTCCGCGGGTTCCAGAACCCTCACGATCAGCCTGCCCAAGACCCTGGTTGCTACCGGCATGTCTTTCCAATTACCGTAGTTATATGGCCTTGTGCAAAGTGCCACTTCAGCAGCTACGCAATCCACCCTCAGAAATACTGTGCAGCGGCACCATCTCGACAAAGACGGTAAGTTAGCCACTGTATCTTGAAATTATTTACTACTTTGTATTGTTCTTCCAGCAGCAGAGTCACTATCATGCTTTTACCATGCAGGCACACTACTGTACAATAAGTGTTATTGCTCAGTAGATCTAGTCAAGGGTGGTGATTTTGCTAGTGCTGTGCGTCATAAGCATAGCATCATATGACACTAGCTCGTTAGCTCACATCGACGATTGCCAGATTTTGCATTGAGGAGGGCGTTGCCAGTGTGGCTAACAAACCGACCCGTCTGACAGACCGTCTGACAGACCACCTTCAGACCGCAGACCGACCGACCAGGAATCTCATCAGACCGACCGGCGACCGACCAGAGCTGCCGGTCGGATTGAGTGGTCTGAGTCGGTCTGGGTTCCGGGTTTCCAGGCCTACCATTGGCCAGTCTGAATATCCAGGTACCTGCACCGCCCTCTTGGTTTTATTTTTTTACTTGTATTACGCCCGGAGGGTTCCCCCATAGAGCCACTACGCTAGCCTGTCTACCTTCTGTACATGGTTCCATCTTCACCCAAAGCCCCACGCTTCTTTTCATCTGTTTCCAGCCTCGTTCACTGTGACATGACAGGCCTGCTTGAAGGTCAGTTTCTCCAAGTGTACAGCGTCCTACCTTCAGCGGCTGAAGCGCGGTCTGCCAAGTTGAAGGCTGTTGTGTTAGTATGATTGTCCCTTGATCAGTACATGGCCGGTTGCCGGTCCATACTGAAACGTTCTGTTGCCAATGCGAACTGTATTGTCGCATGTACAGCCCCCGTATCGGGCTGCCACTTGTCGTCGTCTGACTCTGTCTTGCCACCTAGGAAGAAGGACAGGTCTCCCATCTTTCCGCCAGCATATCGAAGCATGATTTCTCGCCCTCTTGGTTTTTTTTTGGTTTTTTTTTTGTGTATTTCACCCGGAGGATTTCTTCTATAGGGCCTAGACGTAAAAGCTACTGACATTTCAATACATTAATGCGTAACACCTTAAGCCCCACGGCGCCCTCTTGGTTGGTATGGATTTATTCCGCCCGGAGGGAGGTCCCTATAGGGCCTAGACACTCTGGCTATTGACGGTTCGATACACTGATGCATGACACCCCAAGCCCCACATATCATCTTACGCTGCGCCAACCATTCCACTGTTCGCTCCATGACAGACCTGCTTGAAGGTCAATTTCTCCAAGTGTTCAGCATCCTATTCCCAGCAACTGAAGCGCGATGTGTCGAAGTTGAAGCGTGGTTGTGTTAGTCATTGATGGTGGTTGGTACGCCGATTGTGTTCTCTCATGACGCTGTTCCCTGTTGACGGGCGGGAACCCGGGTGTACCCTGTTCGCCCAGGGGTGCCTCCAGCCGGCTTCGAACCGACCCCTCTGCGACGCAGAGGCTCCAGACGTGTCACCACTACGCCATGGAGGCCGCCCTCTTGGTTTTGCGGGTGTGAGCTTGCGGTTTGAAATTAAGTGGGTCGCTGCAAGGACAGCCAATGAGAAATCAGCTAACCCAGACCAAGACCGACTGAGCTGCTAACTCAGACAGACCTAGACCGACCGCCCGCGAGCCCTGAGGAACCCAGACCGACCGCCCGCAGGTGCCGGTCTAGGTCTGTCGGTTTGTTAGCCACACTGGTTGGCAACGCGGCGTTGCCAAACCTCTCCCACTGCAATGATAAATCCAGCAACGTGCGCCAGACTTGACTTGAAACCCTGTAGCGCTTGCAAAAAGGCCACTCAATCCAGCGCTGACTTCAATTCAAGTAAGTCAAGTTTGAGGGTGTAACTTGATTACTTGAAATGAAATCACCTGTCAACTTGATTAACTTGAATTGAATTGATATATTTGATATACTTGATATCTGAGGTCAGGTCACGTTCAGGCATAGGTATCAACATGCCTCTCGTCGCGAACTGAAGTCTTGAGGGGGAAAAATTGACGGGGTGAAACCGTGCTATGCTCCACTTTATTTGGAGCACTAAAATTCGCCCCACCTAAGTGGGGATGCGATACGCGTAGACCCCCGATCTGCACCGAGACACATTTTCTGCAAAAGCAAAAACACGCGCGATTTGCGACTTCTGCTGCGCCCCAAGGATAAGGTTACCACCTGCGACTGGTGCGATGGCTGGAAGCCTTCATCACATACCCTACAGCTTGAGTCGATAAACCTGGAAAAATATCATTTCAAGTATATCAAGTATATCAAGTTCCGGGCATCATAAACTTACTTCCTTGAAATAAATTCAGCGGTCAACTTACTTGACTTACTTGATATACTTGAATTGATACTTGAATTGAAGTCAGCGCTGACTCAATCCAAACCAACGCCGATATTAAATAATATTACATCACATCGCATCAATCCACGCCAGCTGGCTGCGTAATAGTTGGACAAGAAGACCAGTTAACAGTTCTCTCAGCTGCACAGTTACATATATGCTGAGATGCCCCTCGAAGTTCAAAAGATGGGGCCACGCATCATCCTGGGTCTGATGACTTTTGGACCCAGCCTGGAAGATGGTGCAAGAATCACTGAATTAGAAACATTCGACAAAGTTCTCGACTTATTCCAGACCAGAGGATACAGCGAATTAGACACAGCTCGTCTCTATGTTGGCACCAAACAAGAAGCTTTTACAAGGGAAGCCAAGTGGAAGGAGAGGGGACTGACCTTAGCCACCAAGGTGCACTACCCAGTATCACAAGGGGATAACACGGCTGAGAAAGTGATTGCTTCGGTGGAGACCAGTCTCAAGGAGCTGGGTACGGATTGCGTAGATGTAAGTCGTTTCTGGTATCTCACTCTTGAAATGCTGAAGCCAAATTGAAAACTAATCATAACCTGCTTATAAGATCCTCTACCTGCACAAACCAGACCGTACTACGCCGTTCCAAGAGACACTTGGAGCCATGGACAAGCTTCACAAGGCCGGCAAGTTCGTTCGTTTCGGTATTAGCAATTTCACCGCGTACGAGATGGCCGAGGTCATGATGATTTGCAAATATAACAACTGGGTGCGCCCCAGTATTTTCCAGGGTATGTACAACTGCATCACGCGCAATATTGAGACCGAGCTTTTTACTGCCTGTCGCCGCTATGGTCTGGACATCGTAGCATACAACCCTCTCGCTGGCGGTCTATTCTCTGGCAAGATCAAGTCGCATGACATGGTACCCGAGAGCGGTCGGTTCTCGGATACCAGCTCAGGTCAGGGTGGAATGTATCGAAAGCGCTACTTTCGCGAGAGCACATTCAAGGCTATTCAGTTGGCTGAAGGGGCTGTCGAGAAGCACAGCTTGACCATGATCGAGGCAGCGCTGCGCTGGGTAGTGCATCACTCCGAGCTCAAGATCAATGACGGTAACGATGGTATTCTCATTGGTGTATCAAGTGTCGCACAGTTGGACGATAACTTGACCTACCTGGAGAAGGGACCCCTGCCGGAAGAAGTCGTCAAAGCTCTCGACGAGGCCTGGCAAATCTCCAGGGCTGATTCACCAAATTACTGGCACGGTGACTTGGACTATGGTTATGACACGATACAGGCTCTGTTTGGGCCTGGCGCGCAGTAGGCGCGAAAAACGACTGCAAAAAAAAGCAAAGCGCGGCGAAGTGAGTTAGCAGATTTGATATCAAGCAAAGATAGAATTTTTCCCCGACTTAGAGTGTTGTCATCGATATTCTCTATCCGGATGTACGTGGACTACTTCGTATTGCCAGATATTATCGCGAATGACGACATGCATTAAGATAAAATATGCTGATGTCGAGAAGAAGGGTCTAAGACTTGATCCTGAAGCCTGATAGCTAGCTGAAGGTGTAGGGGCGAGACAGGGTGAACAGGGAGGTGGCACGCTGACGCGGAGTGTTGGGTGCCTAAGGATTAGTAAGTCCGCAAGGAAGAAGATGGAACACGGAAGAAGAAGCAGGGCAAGGGGATAAATAAGGGCCTATGACAGAAGGGAAGAATGAACACACATGCACCCCAAAAAAAATCATGCCCTTTGCCCTGCTCTCTTCTAGGAGTGCATTCCACTTTTGCCTGAGTGGCGTACTGTCTTCGCAAGAGTTATGAGCCCGGGAGGGGGCGTGGCACGGCCTGTAACTTCCGGTGACTGCGTGCGGTGCGGGGTTCAATCCCCGTAGGCGGCACCCCTCTTGGATTCCCCCTTACCCGGGCATTGGCGCGTGTGTTCGACTCCCGCATATTTGGCTTGGTCCAGGAATCCCGGCGGAGCCGTGGTCCCTGAGGGGGTGTGTTGAGAAGAAGACTGTCGAGGGGAACACTTGTTGGTCGGAAGGTAGACACGTCGCCAGATACCGTATTAACTCACTAAATTGAGCCGGTCTCAACGTCTGGGAAAGAGGGCCCGCATGTCTCAGCGCCACTAAATTTGTATACGCTACGTACCTAGCTGTCCCCGCCCGAGCCATCCTTAGTCGGCTCAAATAGAAAATAGGGCAAAAAATGCGTCGAGCCGACTAAGGATGGCTCGGGCGGGGACAGCTAGGTACGTAGCGTATACAAATTTAGTGGCGCTGAGACATGCGGGGCCCCCTCTTTCCCAGACGTTGAGACCGGCTCAATTTAGTGAGTTAATACGGTATATGTTACTTGCAGGGTGTGGAAAGCTCTGATGATGCTGATGCTAGCTACTAGCCCCATCCCTAGTGGAGGGGCGCGCAGACTATAGACCTGTGCGAGGCTGCAATCCCTGCAAATAAGGGCTAGGGCTGCACCCAGCGTTTGTGCAGTGAACTGGCCCTGCACACCTGGGGTGGATCCTGCCCGTGATTCTGCCCGGTTTGCAACAGAAACCACGGATAATTTTTGCCACCTGTCATATCATGTGGCGAGTGTACGACTGGCCTTATCATATCTGAACAGACATACTGGATATTATCCCCGCCTTGGCGTTGCTACCTCCCCGTTGTTGTCGCGAAGACCATTGCGCCAATCAGGCAAAAGTGGAATGCGCGCTCCGAAAGGCGCACTACAATTGACACATATGTCTTTCTTTCCAACACATCCCTCAGGGATGCCGGGCCATACCGGGATGCCTGGACCAACTGCTAAGTCACCCCTTTCCAACGTAGTCTCCTATGTCGCGAAGACCGTTGCGCCACGTAGGCAAAAGCGGAATGCACACTCCAACAAGTGCGCTGCAATCAACACATATCTGACCCCGCCTTCCCGACATTGTCGGAAAACGCGGTTGTCAGATATGTGTCAATTGCAGCGCACCTGTCGGAGCGCGCGTTCCACTTTTGTCGGGAAGGCGGGGTATGTGTTGATTGCAGCGCACTTGTTGGAGTGTGCATTCCGCTTTTGCCTGCGTGGCGCAACGGTCTTCGCGACATCCTATGGGTATCCGTACGCTGACGGGATTCGAACCACGGGGCCTACTCGAGTGTGTCGCGCGCGCAGTCTAACCGGAAGTTGCAGGGGTGGTGTGCCATCCCCTCCCGGGCTCATACCTGTTGCGAAGACAGTACGCCACTCAGGCAAAAGTGGAATGCACTCCAACAAGTGCCCTGCAAGTAACGTATATATCTGGCGACGTGTCTACCTTCCGACCAACAAGTGTTCCCCTCGACAGGCTTCTTCTCAACAAATCTGCAACGGTCAATTCCAAATCTGCATTGTTTATTGAGAGCCAACCCAACTAGCAACCAATTCCCATCGCTCACCAAAGATGTTGTCAAGCGTCTTACCGTTCACAGTTAGTTCCTTGCCAGAATAGCAGCTTTCGAATCGTGTGCTAAAGCCCTGGTCTTAGCCCGAGATGGCGGTGGAGGTGACCAACTACTGCACTGAGCATTCGAAGAAGGTCACAGAGCAAATGGATGAACTCTGGGACTGGACTTGCCAAAATTTTGCCGACGCCGACAAGATGTCTTCGCCATTGCAAGGAGCAACAATGACGTTTCTGGCAGAGTTTGTGAGAGCTCGTCGCAGTACATATGCCGCTTAATACCCCGAGCTGAGACCCGAGTGAGCTAACGTGCTAGGCAGTTCTTGAAATAGGTTGCTATACAGGTTACAGCGCCTTGGCCTGGTACGAAGGCACTAGAAAAACTAATGCAGAGATCATCTCGCTGGAGGCCGACCCGAAGATGATTGCAGCCTCGCGCAACACATTTGACAAATACAAGGTCAACGACCGACTAACTCTCGTCGAAGGCCCTGCTCAAGACTCGCTGAAGAAGCTGAGCGGCCAGTTTGACATTATTTTTGTTGATGCAAACAAGGAGGGCTACCAAAATTATGTACAATATATTTTGGATCATAAGTTGTTAGCCCCTGAAGGGTTGATCATGTGTGACAATGGTGAGAAGCAAGTTCAGAAATATCCAGGGTCGGAATACTAACCAAATGACTCAATAGTCTTTGCTAGGGGTATGACTATTTCCACGAATGCCAACCCTCTGCTGTCTGGAGAGTCCCGCTCTTACTGGACGGAGAACGGCAAGGCACTTCGAGGCTTTTGTGACTTTTGCCGCGAAGACAAACGCATCGACGTTCTTCTCCTGCCTCTCTTCGACGGCGTAACCCTTGCGAAATGGGTGCCAAGCTCGCGCCATGAAATTATGTCTTCGACTCATGATGCATTGGAGGATAAAAAGGCTGCTCCTTGACAGTCGGAGGGCAGGTAATGCGTCGACTTAACATAAAAGTGATTTGCCGAATTTCGTTGCCAGGATAAGGTCTCGCGAAGAGAGGATGCAACCCTTTGTGTCAAGCGATCCAGTTTTTCCTGTTGCTCCTGCTGCATCTCTTCCAACTGTCGCAGCTTGGCGTGTTTTTCCTCCTCTTGTGTAGCGAGTAGTCCCAACAAAGTTTCCGTCTCCTCGATCTTGGCGTGTTGTTCCTCCTCTTGTCTAGCGAGCATCCCCAACAGCGTTTCCTTATCCTCGATCTTGGCCTGCGCTGCGGCAAGCAGAGCATTGAGCTGATCTAACTTTGACCGCTCATTCTCAATGTCTCGCCGTAATAGCTGCAGCGTGGACCTCTGGTCATCAGCTCGATGCGAGTCGTCGTGTGGCGCGTCCAGCTCCGGGTCAAGGGCACGTGCGATGAGAGCCCTGCTTAACTCCACATGATTTGAGACCTCCAATGGTGGGGATGTCCGGTCAGTCATGGACACATCTCGATTTGTCGCGTCGCGGTCTGCAGTGCAGCCCTGGGTCGATGGAGGTTGTCCGAAGTAGGCCAAATACACCGACCTTCTGATGAACAACGAGCGCAGCTCGGTCTGATCCGATTCTGCCGCTTCGTCCAGCTTCGGAAGGAACAGCCGGGTTTTATCGCGTTCGTGATCCAGATCGTGGGGTATTCCGTATCGGTTTGGAGGCTGGACGCGCACGCTGGTATCCGCATGCTCCGATGCTTCGGCGTCAGACATCGGAACGGCCGTCGCGAACACGTCAACCACTTGTTGGATGCGCTGCTCGCGATTTGCGTACCGGAACCGCCCTGGCTTCCGAGCGGCCAGCAGAGCGTGTTCAGCGATGGCCCTGTCCGGTGACGCCTGCAATATCTTTCTCACTTTTTCCGACTCGAAACCAAGTCGCGAGGCAAGCGAGGCGAGGTCATGAAGTGCACTTTCGTCTGGTTTCATTCGCGCTTTCGCCAAGCGGTCTTTCTTTTGCGCGTCGGTCGGCAGGTCTTGATACATGCGGAACGCGGCCAGCCAGAGCTGCCGCATCCCCAAGTCAAGTCTCAGCGCGGCATCTCCTGCAATAGTTCCAAAGCTCCCATCTGAGATCTGAATCACGCACCGGTCGCTCTGCTGGTTGACGTCCGTAAACATGTCTTCCAGGCGGCCTGCAATGGTGTCGCGTGGTCCTGTATCCACGATTTTCTTCATGCACTCCGCAGCACATGCCAGAAACTTGCGGTCTTCGAAGAAAGCGAACAGTGACGGAATCAACTGTGTGCGAGAAGCGCCGCAGACTTTGGGCCACATCGCCTCGCGCTGTGGCTCCGAATAGTTGCCAAATATTTGCCCGCTTTTCAATCTCGCAAGCAAGTCATCGTGATCTGTCCTGCAGGCTCCAGGAGCCCTACCCTGCAGAGCCTTCTGCAGACTTCCCTTCTTACCTGGTTTCAAGCTGTATTATCTAGAGAGACCTAGAGACCTCAACTCGTTCGGACCTTCTTCTCGACACAATTTGCACAAACCAGGCAAGAGTAGTATCACATCGTCAGATTAGATTATAGCCCAAAAAAGGCGCAAGAAGTTGCACGATCGAGTCACCGAAGAATTATCTCTTTTGGGTGTTGTGTACCGGTACGGGGCTTGAGGACGTGATGGTTTTAAGATTTTAATAATAAAGTTGCAGCTTACAGTCCGCCCCAGAATTGGGAAAAGATATCAATTTACGTTGCTAGAGGCAGCAGCATATAATAGCAGCAGGCTCCATAAGACTAATGCATCTGCTTCAAGCCTCATATATTGATGCGAGAGGTATGATAAATGTGCGATGCGCAATTGCTGCAAAAGGCGATGCAGGTATACTACAGTGGGGTGTAGCCTGATGTGACGCATGCGGTGGCCGGTATTTTTTTGGTGCGGTTTTTGCCAACCTTGCCTAATGTGCGACCGTACTGCAGCTCTTTGTTCCGGCTCGCTATTGGTCAAGTTGGTCAGATTAAGGCCAAAATCGGGCGTCCCAGAATGAGCTTGACGTCCAATCACATCCTCAAGGTTGGATGATTGGAAGCCGGTGGCTTGCTTCATCAAGACTAGTCGAGCGGTAAAGTTCAGTGATCGTGAAGCGGTCTGGCGATTGGAGAGCGCAATAAATATTGCACATCTGATCTGCTTTTACCCTGTCGCGTCTGTTTCGTGTTTGTCGGCGGGGGGCAAGGTGAACTGAGGAAAGGCTTCAACGTCAAGTTCTGCCTAGCAGAGAGTATGGGAAGTGTGACCAGATGCTACCCTAAAGACATGAGATGAAAGCTACGCAGAGGCTCGTTTAACTCTCCCCTGTAAAAATTCTTCCCCCGTCAGAGCTGTTAGCGGCTCGCTAGCAGGGGGCCGGATTTGCAGGCCACCCGACCGCGCTTTTGCTGCCCGGGTCCATCGTGGCCCTAACAGCACAGAGGAAGACATTAGGAGAGTTCATATTCCTCTGCAAAGCCGGTCTCGACAACACGTCCACACGGACCTCACAGCTTCCTTCGGAACCAAGGAGCTGTGGGTATTGGAAGGCCCGCCCTTCTAAACAACGGTGGCTGGTTGCGCAGGTTTTTCTCCCTGAAGGCAAGCTGCACGACAGCCTCTGATTCCTTCGAGGGTTTTTCTGCCGCCGCTCCTGCGCTATTTCCATCGCCTGGTTACCGAAGCATGGACTGCGACAGCAGCGTTAGCGAGAGAGCGAGAGAATTCTGACCGGACAAAACCAAGGGTTGACCATTGTGGCAATCGCCACGCGCCTGGACGACCCGCTGACGGGCACCAGGCTCCGACACTGAGCGCCTTAGAGCCGATGAAATGCTGGATGGACTTCGGGAAGGCTGGCTGCAGAGGATAGCCACGGACACTTGTATTGACGGGCTTAGCGACAACCTACCGGTGGAGGGTAGGAAAGCCGTCTCCGGGGATTGAGCCCGACAGCTCGCCCTTGCGAGGCCTTGCAAGAAGCGCTGGGTGAGGCCTACTGTGGCAGGATTTTCTCGATAGCCTAGCTCAGCACGTCCTGTGCCCCACCGGGACCTGAGCGGCCTTACGGCCGCTGGACGGAAAATACACACACACACACACACGCAGAGGCTCGTTCTGCCCTGGCAACACTTTGATATCTCGTAAGAGCTACCCGTTGGTCTAAGCGTGGTGGGGCCACGGCAGCCCACTAAAGGTCTTACGCCCTTTAGTTGGCACAAAAATCCGTGACATCACAAAATTCCGTGACAGTCGCCTCTCTTTGAGTACCGTCTCAATTGCCGTCAACGCGTATTTTCAACCCAAACCAACTTGAGAGGTTATTCTCTATTTCATACGGTATGACTCCCAATGACAATGCCTAGCCGCCGCGCGAGCCGTCATCGCCTCTCGCCGGCCGCCTAGAGCGGCCCTACGTCGTGCCACAACACCACAACGAACCCCCCTTTCTATCCGCAAAGCGGCTTCTAGGTACAAAGTCAATAGAGGCGCTGTCGAGAGGGCCATCCGTTCTTTGGAAAACCCATTTGCCCGAGGTCAGGGGCGCCCAACTGCGTTGACTGAGGATGAAGATAACGCCCTTGTGGCGTACATACAGTGGATGGAGCGTACTGGTATAATTGGTATTCCAGCGGGAAAGGAGCAGCTTGAGGCTGCCGCAAATACAATCAGGCAGCGACGAGATCCATCATCAAGACCTATGTCTCAGAACTGGCTCGCAGGCTGGCGCCAAAGTCACCCTGAGGTCAAGAAGACTTACTTGAAGGCCGTCGAGAGAGCACGGAAGTCTTTTGAAGCGCAGAGTGTTGAGGAAGTGAATGACTTCTTCTCTAACCTCGACGAGACTATCAAGAAGTTTCGCATTGGGGCATCGGAGATTTGGAATGAAGATGAAGCTGGCATTCGGATCGGCTGCTTGCGAGAACGCGTACACGTTCTGTTGAGACATGGACCAAGACATGTTTAGGCAGCAGTTACAAGTGGTGAGTCACTGGATAGTGGCACGGACGTGCCACTATGTATTGCAGTACGAGATGGGCAGCAAGCATTGATCTTGAGTGGAATAAAGCTCTTGATTCTTCTATCTAGAGAGGGAGTGTAGATGATCTTATATAGATAGAAGAACAGTGGAAGTGAATGAATAACCCAGCTGTTGGGTTGTGGCTGTGTAAAGCGTAGGCAAAAGGAAGGTTAATTGCCTGCATTAGCCTAGGTTGACTGGAAGACCAAATGAGCCTTGGCTGGTAAGGGATTTCCCGGTGATCTGCCGGATCGGACGATTCGCCGGATTTTGGTTCCTTGCATTCCGGTGAAGATTTGAGTGAAACTCCACGAAAATAATATGAAACAATCTCACATTAAAGCAGAAGCAAGAAAGATGCCTAGCAATTCCATTCAATCTACTTCGCAGTCATCAAGCCACCGTGGCCGCTTCCTGTGGCGTCCCGATCGCGCAAGTCCCCGCATTGCGACTACCATCTCCTGGTCGCGCTCGACAGCCAATGATGGCTTTTGGGACGTGAGGAAGTGGTCAATGCCGGCTTTGGATCTTTACGCAACTTAATGTTTGGCGATTTTGAGTGTTCCGGAGCTGTCGTCGGTTCTGGTGGAGCCGAAATGGCGACGACAATCTCGTCTCGAACGCCCGGACTCTTCTCGCGAGTCTGTGGAGCAACAGAGGTCCGGATCCCATTTCCGACATTTTTTCTGGTTCTTTCGCTTGAGCTCTTTCCGTATCTGCCTGTTTTTCTCCCGCTCTTGTTGTCTGGCTTCCTTTGCCTGACGTCTTTGCTCAGTTTTGCCTCCCGCTGCCTTCTCTTCTCCAGAGCGAGAACTTTGAGGTTTGCCGCCTTTGCTGTCGCTCAAACCTTTGTCGTTCTTTCTCCAAGGCCTCTTCTTGCTTCTGAGTCTCCATGGCTGCTTTCTTCAAGCGCGCTTGGGCCACTTTTGCAGGGCTAAATACCTGCGCCGAGTTAGGATCTACACGATCGAAAAGGTAATCCTTCAGAGCTTTACCGCGCATTCTGCGCTGCTTTTCGTGAAAGATAGTCTCCCGAAGTCCCTGATTCTCATATCGAAGCAATTCGTTCTGAGATTGGAGACTTTCGAGAGTACTTTGAGCTTCCGACTGTCTCGGCTAGCGTTTTTGAGGATCCATCGACTACCTTGTCGACAAGTCGGCGCAAATCCCGAGCAGTGGGCTGCTGCAGGGCGAGCGAGTCAACGGAGCTGTCGCCAGACTCAGACTCATCTTCTGTTTTCTCCGCGATCTGCGACAAAACGACTTCAGGGTCAAATGGGAGGAGTCCGGTCCGTTTCAACCACTTGCGATGTTCTCCGCCGAGAAAGATGACCCGAATGCGTTCCAAAATAACGACCAGAACTCGCGTTTCGATAGCCCGATGAGTCCCTGTGTCTTTGCAGTCCACTGGATGAGCTGGTTGGTGTATGCGGTCGAAAGAGGGCCAAAGGGACACATCAAGGGGCTGCAGCCTGTGCGTGGAATGCGGCGGAAACACGGCAACGATTATCCGATGCTGGTCACACCACTCCAGGAAGTCCATATTGACATGACTAGAGTGTCCGTCGGTAATCAGGAGGCGGTAATCCCGGCCGTTTCGCGCCTTTTCTTTCGTGAACCGGTCGAAAACACCAATGAGCCATTCCTTTCCAAGTTCATGGTTCGTCCAACCCGTTTCTGAGGTTGTGAAAAACGCCGCTTGGTGCTCCGGATCAAACTCCGTGAGCCAGGAGTCCTGAACTTGCCCTGGCTTGCCTTGGTAGATGAGAAACGGGGGTAGCGCGGTCAGGTCTTGACAGACACATGCCAGGAACGTGATCCATGATCTGTTGCCATCCTGCGCAGCACCGATCAATTTTCCTTGCTTCTTGGCACGAACAGAGAATACTCTCTTGGTACGATTGATGACGCCGAGGAGAAAGCCCTTTTCGTCCACATTATACGTGTTGCAAGGCAGGATGTCGTATTTCTCGATTTTCTCGCCAATCTTGTACGATCAGCAATGAAGGGATGGACTTGGGCACCTACTTACAAGCTCATAGTAGGCTCTGTATCTAGAAGCATTGTCTGCTCTCTTTCTTGCGATATCAAAACCGTCGAACCAAGTGCAACCGAGCTCATCGCTGTTACGTCGGACGAAGCTATACGGCCAGTCCTTTCCGACCTCAATTTTGGCGATATC